ATATCAACGCAACTACTGGCCATGTCCTTAGCAAATGAATAGATTCATTAAAAGTCATCAGCATAAATGAAATTTTCCGAGTTATTTAGCCCTGTTGAAATTTCATTTATATAAAAAATGAAAAGGAGGGGACCTAAAACTATGCCTCGGCTATCTGGCCCTCCGGTGTTGGCGTAGGATCGTGATCGGCTAAGGCATCGAGTAGCTATTGCCTACTAAGACCTTCTGGCTGCGTTTAGATAGGAAGGAAGGAATGAAATCGGGAAGAGGAGGCCTGATGCCTAGGGCTTCTAATTTCAGTAGAAGACGCCTGTGCGGCCCCTTGTCAAAAGCTTTACTAAGTCAAAGTAAATCACAATAACTGATTGCTGACCATTTCGAAGCGAAGTAACGAGGTTAAGAAAAGCCAAGTGGCAGGTTTCACATGATCTTCCAGGTAGAAATCCATGCTGTAAGGCGCTTAATAATTTATTTTCTTTACAAAAGTCAAGAATTTGGTTAAAAATAATTTTCTTCAGAAGTCTTTTTAGAGCCGGTGTTTTGTGAATGCCTCGATAATTATTTACATCCGAACGAGATCCTGACTTGAAGACTGGAAGAATAATATATGTCTTCTGTGAGTCAAGAAAGAAATCGTTTAGAAGATAAGCTGAGAATAAATTACCAAGCAATCGGGGGAAGCTCAACACTATCTTGATAAATGAGTTTGGAAGGCCGTCAGTTCCCGAGGAGTGCGAGTATTTTAGACGGATAATGTGCTCTACTAATTACTTCTATGGAGAAACTAATGGTAAAGGGTAAAATAATGTGAAAAAGGCTCGTTGGAAAAAAAAACAAGGTGAACTTGTGATTTTTCGAGTCGTTGACACCAACTCGGCCTCACACTTAATAAACAAAGGAGAAATTGAAATGACTAGCTTAGACCAAGTACGCGACAGGACAGACGAGGACATACATATACATAGGGAGCCATAAAAGCGAGTGAGGACTTCTTTTACATCTGAGCACACGTGGAGGCAATGGCGATTCAATCCACCCAGATCCCATATAGTTAGCCATGGTCGATGCGCCATAAAAAGACGTATTCACTGTATATATATATATATATACATACATGCATATATGTACTGTCATTGTTGTTGCTCTTACCGTACTTTATTTATCTCGCATTCAACAGCTCCCACCCACATCCATGTAACCGACTTGACAGCAACCACTGTCAGTGTGTCCTGGACGTTGTGGCCAGCTCCAGAGAACACTGAACCTGGCAATCGGCGTTTCCATGTCACCGCGATGGATGGTGAAGCAACATTCACTTGCACGGCACTAGGTGAGACGCAATGTACTTTCACTGGTCTGCATCCGGATACAAGGTACAACATAACGGTGGCGGCCTGCTCAGTGGTGACAGAGGAGTGCTTTTCAGCTTGGGTACCACATATTACCGCGAGCACGCTTCCAACAGGTGTGTTGCTTTTAATCTGCGTAAATATGGTTACCTGCCCCCCATTTCATTTGCTGCAAACAAAACATTGAACAACGTCTGAACGCGGAGGAAAGAACACACTTATCTCTTAAGAGAAAGCATGTCCTCAATGAAGCCTACACGAATCAGGGTGCCCGCAAGGAGTTCATTTCACTTCTGGCGATCATAAAAAATCATACGTGTGTGTTGCTGATACCACCGGTCATGCTTGTGCTTCTCGCTTTAACTTTCAACAGATATCAACCAGATGCACGTATATGACATCACACCAACCAGCTTCAAGGTCTCCTGGGGTTCGTCGCAAGTCCCGATGGAAAGTCCCATTGTCGAATATCACTACTTTGCCATGGCCGCGGATGGTGAAATCACAATCAACTGCACGGCACGTTATGAGACACATTGCATCCTCAGAGGTCTTCATCCGGACACCCTGTACAATGTTACGGGTGTGTCATGCACAATATTCACAGAGGAATGCAGTCCGCTCTCCCCAGCACAGATTACGGCCAGGACACAGCCAGCAGGTATGCACCGTGCACACACCATAGCTTTAAAACTTCTGGCCGCTGTACTTTAGCTGTTTTGCTAGCTCACATTTGCCCATTGAAGCCTGTTTGCTGTGAGATTGGTGAGAGACAAACATTTGCCCAACTGTGCTGGCTTTGAACAGGCCGCCAAACATATTGTCGTTGTCAACTAGTGAGCAGTAGGCCCATTTTCGACAATGGGACTGTTTACGTCCGAGTCATTTTCTAAAGCCATTTCATTTGTATTCTGTCGGGAAGAAATGCATAATCCTTTGAGGACTACAAATATGCTGTATATGTTTTGGTTCTAATCACTTTGTTTTCCCTCCCACTCAACAGCCCCCGCCCACTTTCAAGTCACCGACGTGACACTAACCACTGTCAATGCCTCCTGGATGCCATCGTCAGCACCCCTTCCAGTCACGACTCAGCCGGCAGGTAAGCAGTTCACACGCCACTTCTATAAGGTTGCTGTCTCGTTTGTAGTTCAGCTGCTGTTTTTGTCCAATTTACTCAAAGTAGTACTCTTTGCAGTTCCATTTTATTCAGGGGAAAATTGGCTAACGCCTTACAGTTCCCTGTTGGTGACAGTGTCTGCAAAATGCATCGATACAGTGGAACAACTCGAATAGTGATCGTTCACAGGCTAATATTTGGCATCCGTCAGTTGATGAAAAATAGTAAAAACGCAGGACTACTCACTCATCAGGAGTACTATAATTACACAATGATAGTCATCATGATGAAATCGTGGCTGAGTGCACGTCTTTTGATGGAGCACACTGCACGCTCACCGGTTGGCATCCGGACACCGCGTACAATATCACTGTAGTGGCATGCTCCATGGACATGGCTAAATGCAGTCCACCCATCGGTACTACCTACTACGGTCAAGACTTAACCACCAGTTATGCAATTTACAAGCCGTCACTACTACTGTTCTGTCTCGTAGAGTTCAGCCCTTACGCTACTGAAAGCATGGCCCACTTATCTTCTTTACTGTCAGTGTATGGCATGTGAGTATGCGAGCAATTGTGTTGTTGGCGTTGGACACTGGGTGTATTGGAGATGTCGCCGTTTCTGGGTCGTTCTTGGCGGGGGCCTAGCTTGTAGGGAGGTTTTCCTAGCACAACAAAATGAGCAGTTGTGTTCGTCGCGGTCTTCCATTCGTTGCCGGCTTGTGGTCTTGCAAACTGTGGCATATGACAGCAGGGTGCCAACCCTCTTCATCCTGTTTACAAAGGCAAATAGTGAGCAGAGTACCTTACTTGTCAAATTTCCGTCTTTGCCTATCGACCTTGGATACACTGACTTAAAACGAAGTTAAAAAATTAGTTCTTAAGGAATTTGAAAAGCTGTTATTGCTGGAGCTTACCCATGGCCTGTAGAAAGTAATGTCATTACATCTTACATATTACCTCTTACTGGCCATTGAATACCGCCTCTTTATTTACCTACCCATCATGCGTAACTGCTTCAAAGTCAGCTTCACATTCATCTTCCGATGAATAGTTCTAGAGCATTTCCCGTCCTACTTGGTACCATCACTAACGTCCTCGTTATTGTCGTCAGAATCAAATGCAAATACCACATATAGCACTGCATACTCATCATCACCTTCATCCTAATCACCTAAAATGCACCTTACTTAACAAATCACCGAGATTTTTGTCACTACTATCGTGAGTCCACTCACTTACATCCACAACTTCAACAGAAACATCCTCCACTCATTCAGCCTCTAGATCCCACGTGTTAATTATGCTCTCTTACGGTATTGATGCTATCAACCCGTATGTCTCTTCTGCTCCAGGTCTTCATCACACAATGTTACAGGAAATCTGTCATGAGGGGACAGGATGTGATGCGATGATTTTTGAATAGGTTACAGGCAAATGATGGGACTACGGATCAACATTCGAAATCATTTTCTGCTGAGTTATCTGCATTTGGTATAAATGGACCACCTTAGACCTTTGATTCTCAAAGATAATTGTAATTACATCCTCCCATTTTATTTGCCGCACCCAAAGCTTAGAACAACGCCTCAGCTTACATGCACAAGGATAGGATGAAATAAAATCTTAATAGACAGCATATCCTAAGTGAAGTCTATGCGGATCAGGGTGCTCGCATGGTGTTATGTTCACCTCTATTAATCGTAATCTTCATAAGCGTGTCTTGCCACTACCGCCGCTCACGATTGTGCTTTTCGCTTTACATTTCAACAGATCTCAACCAGATGCAAGTATCTGACATCACACCAACCAGCTTCAGGGTCTCCTGGGGTCCGTCGCGGATCCCAAGTGAAGACCCATTTGTCGAACATCACTACTCTGCCACGGCCGCGGAAGGTGAAAACACATTCAAATGCACGGCAAGTTATGGGACCCATTGCATTCTCAGAGGTCTTCATCCGGACACCCTGTACAATGTTACGGGTGTGTCATGCACAATTTTCACAGAGGACTGCAGTCCACTCTCCCCAGCAATGATTACGGCCAGGACACAGCCAGCAGGTATGCACCGCCCACACACCCTATCTTTTGAAGCTTCAGGCCGCTGTACTTTAGCTTTTTTGCTTGCTCACCTTTGACCATTGAATCCTGTTTGCTGTGAGAGTCGTGAGGGACAATCATTTGTGCCGTTGTGTTGGCTTTGCACACACTCGTCTGCCTGGCTACTGTGCAGGTTGTGCTTGTTGTTCCAAATGGTCTTTTGTGTTTGCTTTTGTGTGCTTTTCCTGCGTGTCTTCTGTATACAACGTTTAATTGCTTATTCTGTCCTTGCAATACAATCGGTGTGGTTCCTTTTATTTCCAGTATGATGCAGTTTACCTTTTGCATAGCCTCCAGAAGCTTATTTTGTCGCTTCGGAGCTCGTCATCCAACCCAGTAGTTTTTAGAGTGCATGAGTGTTTGCCAACAACTCATGACCTACAGCTTTATTGAAAAAAAATATTAGCAACAGGCCATCACACCTACCTATCCTAGTGTGCTTAGCGAATCACGAAGAGTTTGCATAACTAAATCTTTAATGTGCCTATGTATACCCAGCTGAAAATTTAATTTCTGAGGAAAGTGAACAGATGAGATAACTTTCAATTCAACAGAACAGCTTCTGGCTGGCAACTGCATTGAGTACCATCTGTAGGGTGCCCATCGTCCTCAAGTGTTTCACAATCAGATGCAGAGTCCTCCTCACGTTTCTTGCACCCCCACCCTACCCCTAACCATCACATACTCTCTCGTTATTTTAGGAAGAATCAACCCCCCCCCCAACGCCACATCAACACGACCTGGCGTCCCGCGGTGCCACCAAATGTTGGCATGGCGGTTGTCTGTCAGGCACAGACTGAAACCTGTATACCGAAAGGAAGCTTCTAAGGGCGTCAGTAAAATCCGGCATAGGATAATTTGAGGATAGTACCTGTCAATAAAAAAAAGTGATGTGTGCTATGTTCTTAACAGGAGGACATGAGAGGTTACATTGTTAGGTAAAACAACGTAATTTTTAAATCCAGCTCCAGAAAATGAAGTTACGGAAACATTTGAATTTACATCCACAATGCTAAAGCCCTATTTGCACTGGAGAGAATTCAGGAGTGTGACTCAGTCTAAGGTAGGGAGAGAGATATACACAGTAGTCGCCAAAGACCATTCAGCATTCATAATTTTGTATAAGTCTGATCATTACTTGAATATCAGTGTGAATGCATTTAGGAAAACTAAGAAATAATAATGAAGCGCGTTAGGCATATTAGGTACTTTAAATAACTATAGGAATTACTAAGTGTTTGTAAAGAAAAAGAAAATTTTCTCGATAATCCCGTGGTTCGAGAGACGTAAAAAAGAGCTATAAATTAGAACAACCACTTCCTAGATATAGAAAGAACTTTTCTTTAGTCAAAATATTCTCTCAATTTTACCGTTACTGGATAAGTATATGTTGAATGTCGTCGAAAAAAGTGTGTCATCATTTTCCTTGTTTTGACTGTGTTCATTGATAAATTTATAAATTGCGTATCTGTTCGGCGTTTGCTCCAAAACCTTTACAATAAGATATGCATAAAGAGCATTTACCGAAACAAAGTGTTTTCCAATATTAGTTTTAATGCGTACGGCAACGTTTCTGATATGAAGAAATGTCTCAAAACAGCAAACCACATTGTCGAGAGTGAATCATGTCCGCAGTGGAATTGTGAAACTACTGTTCCTAAGATTAATAAAAAAGCTTTTCATAAAGGGTTACCTCTTAGAAAGTACTCTGATACTATATTCGGCCGACGATCGTCTGCGTTTAGTAACTTTTTCCAACGTAATCGCGCAAAGAAATTTGAGAGTTTTGAGAATTTCTTTAAGTTTCTTGAAGATAAACGATTCAATTTGACTGAGGATGAAAGAACTTTCTTCTCTCTTTATAACGGATTATTTTTCGCATAAGTGGGTTAATTCGACAATCTGTTGTAAGCTTGCGCATTCTAAAAACCTGGCCATATACATTGTAATTGTTTGAAATACTTGTTATTCTTCGGTCTGTTCCGTTTCTAAATACCGCAAAAGGTAAAAACTAACCTATACAAAAAACTATATTTATACACGACTTAAATTCAATGAGACCTTCTTTATCTTAAATTCGCATTAACATGTTCGAAATTTTGTTTTTGTGCAAGGACAAAATAAGCGTTATTAGTGCATTCAAACAAAAACTCTTCTGAAGAAAGAGGAGCGTTCATCGGGAGAGGTTTATTATAAGCCTGACGTTTCG